AAGTTTATAAAAATAATGTATTGCAAAGTCTGTCAAAGCTTCCTAAGATAGCTATGTAATGTAGTGGAGAATATTTCCTAGCATTATATATCATCAATAAAATTTTATTGAAATAGCTTTTAAAACAGAGAGGTTTTTACCAGAACAGCCGATAGTCTCTATGGTAGCTATATGATAAAATGTTCAGGTTTTCTTCAAAATCAAATTTATGACAAAGAAGGTATTGCAAAAGCGGTCGCTGCTTCCTAAGATAGCTATGCCATATAGTGGTCCGATTTAACTCGAATTCAAAAAAAAAGCTGCTTGCTTGGCACGGACATGACAATATTCCTGCAGGATGCCGTAAATATCAAATCCAACCCAATGTGTCTTCTTTAGGGATACAACATTTTATTTGTAATTAGTTTTATTTTTGCGAGTCAAACGAATTTGTTTGCAAATGATTTGAGTGTCTGATTATTGATTTATTTTAATGGAATTGCGTGCATATACTCTCGGTTTTTAAATCTCTCGTGGCCAATTGTAAAAAATATTTATCGAGCTTTTTTATATATAAGATATAGTATAATTCCCTCAAGTTATTTGTTTTTAGTTGTTTCCAGCGCAGGCAAATTAAATTCCCACATTTCTTTAATGAAATTAAATGGAAAACTAATTTTCTTGCATACTTTTCGGCGAAAACTATTGCTGCCTTTTATTATTAAAGTCGCAATTGCTAGCTTATGATTTCCGGAAGCATTTGCATTATAGAATTCAGTTATTCTTTGTAGCCAAACAAGCTTACAACAATATTTTGAAATGGCTTCGAGTTGAATAATAATTTTGCAATAGCAAAAAATCGTCATCTGTGTTTTTCTGTATGCCTTTGAAAGCCAAAAATTGGGATTTTATTAAAACAGGGCACTTTTTGAAAATTCTTAAATTGGCTGTTCAAATCGCTTGTAATACAGAAAGAGTTTAGAATATGCTCCTAGCACTTTATATATCACAATTATAGTATTATAATAAATACTTTATATTATTAACAAACTTATCAAACAACTAAACACAATTTTTGAAGAGACTTCGTTACAATGATAAAATGATAGACACCACAAGATTTCTATATGGATTATTTTATAGACAAAGCGTTAACATATAGTATATGTAGGTACACGTTTATAAAAGCAGAATATTGGATGATGCTCGGCATAGGAGTTGGTAAATGGGAATCAATAGGGAATCAGATAAGACGGAACAGCGTATTATGCCTGTTAGGGATATTTTTACAACAACCTATTCCTATATATGTTTAGTACACCACTTCATATAACTAGATTTAGGATTGTAATAGAAGCAAGCCTTGTGTCTATTTTTATATACAAGATTATATATACTATATGTGGAAATAAGTATGCGCCGGAGGCGACAATTTATACACAATAGTATCACAGCTTCCAAGATTAATAGTAAGAAATAAATAATTAACAGTTCCTATGTTACGATTAAATTTAAAATTAAAAGGAAGCAAATGAACCGCTCAACCTTATTAATATAATCAGTGGTTAATCAGTTTTAAGCCTTTAGGCTTGTTTCTGTCACACAGTCCAAGAAAGTATTCAAAAGAGCTTGTTTTATCTTTTAAAAAATTTTCATTTTTTTTATAAAAATATTAATTACCGATTACCTGATATAAAATAATACTTATATATTCAAAACTTATAGTCGAGTCATCAGTACTTCAAAATCCAATCCCGAATAAGACATTTATTTCATATTGCTTTTCTCATTCGATTTAGTCTAAAGTTTGTCATTTTAGGTTTGATTTCCTTTTCCAAACTATGTTATACTATAGGAAAGGTGAAAGAGAATATTGGAGAGCTTCAACGCCAAATATAGGGGGCATGACAAAACTCATGTAAGGGCTATATAAATGATTTAAAATCCATCTGCAAAGCAAGTTAATTACAAACATACATATTTACTATTCGTGTTTTATGTTGCTGTTGGGCCAGAAATCACTCTTAATTCTCACTCTTATATAACTCTTTATTTTCACATTCGGAATCAAATATTTTCAATGATAATATTCATATTTGGCTTAAATCGTGCATGTTTGAAGTACACTTCCTTCTTTTAATTCAGAAATAGAAAACTAAGCGCCCACCACATTATCGCTGAAGGACATATAAAGATTGCTCCTCACGTACTACTTAGACGCCTGTTGAATTATTATTATCTAAGACTAGCATTTGCCGCTGACGATTATAGTTGTATTTAATGGCATTACCACACTTTCCTGTTTCTTGGAAAATTCGTTCGAGTGTCAACGAGAATTTCCAAGAACTACAGCACAGACTATCATTTATTAACATGGAAGAAAGAATATTGTGTAAAATGGCTTTTATATTGCGTTGAAACAATGCAACGATTTAAATCTGAGTTCACAGAACCTCTTTATCCGCTGCTAACAAAAGATTAGGACATTTTCAGAGATAATGAAAGACAATTTCGAACACTGTTAAATTTGTTAGATTTAAAATTTTTCGAAATTGTGATTTACAGTTACACGGATTCGGGGAAACTACTCATAGTGGGATTTATTAATTAATTCCAAACCTGTTTGTTTCCCATAAAAATCATTTGAGCGTTGCTGTGAATTCCGCGAATTACAGCAAAGGCTGTCATATATTTAAAAGAAATAATTAAAATACTTTCTTAATGTGAAAGAGTACTGCATTTAAAACTTCGTTAAGGGAAAGTGGCCATGCAAGTGAAGGATTTCGAAAACGTCCGCGAAATAATGCAACGAATAATAATACAAGTACGCAGATAGTTGCTGCTAATAAGAAGGACAATTTCTATTTTTCTAAAAAATGGCTTTTATATTGCTCTGAACAAATACAACCATTTCAATACAAATTCTTATGAAGTTCTTGGAAATGCCTTATCTCCTGCTAACAAAAGATAATGAACGATAATGACACTTTCAAAGATGATGAAGGAGATTTTATGTATGAGCCTACTATTTCTAATGTGGCTAAATTTTTACCGTCTTTAATGTTTTTATTTGTGAATTGCAGTTCTAGAGAACACAGACGCATATAGTTATATTTATTCATATTCCACACCTGCTAACAAAAGAAAGATGGTGACACTTTCAGAGATGATGAAGGAGATTTTATGTATGAGCCTACTATTTCTAATGTGGCTAAATTTTTTACCGTCTTTAATGTTTTTATTTGTGAATTGCAGTTCTAGGGAACACAGACGCATACAAGTATAGTTATATTTATTCATATTCCACACCTGCTAACAAAAGAAAGATGATGACACTTTCAGAGATGATGAAGGAGATTTTATATATGACTACAATTTCTAATGTGGCTAAATTTTTACCGTCTTTAATGTTTTTATTTGTGAATTGCAGTTCTAGGGAACACAGACGCATAAAGTTATATTTATTCATTAGTTTCACACCTGCTGCAATTTTCCTAGAAAATTCGCTCGAGTGTTGATGAGAATATCCGAGAACTATAGCACAGCCTGCTGTGTTATTTATTTGAAATGAAGTAAGATTATTGGGAAAAATAGATTTTGTATTAAAATGTCGTTTGCAGTTACATGGACCGGAGAAATGTGTTTAGTGTTAGTTGTTAATGCTACACCTGCTGTTATTTTTCCTGGAAATTTTGTACGAGTGCTGTTGAGCATTTCCAAGAATTATAGTACAGGCTGCTATTTATTAAAACGGCAGAAAGTTGATTTTGTAAAATTAAAAGGCGGAACGAGTTTAATTTTCTATGATAAAATGCAAAATACACAAATTTCAATATAAATTCTTTTCTGCCAAGCTTTCTATATTGTGCTCATAAAAGATGATGACATTTTCCAAGCTAGGTGCATAATTACAATTTATTTCAGTTATGAATTGCAGTTAAGTAGAAGCGACGAATGTAGTAAGATTAACTCACTAATGCCGCACCTGCTGCGTTTTTTCTTAGAAAATGCGCTTGAGTGTCAACAGAGAATTCCAAGAATTTCAGAACAGACTCAAATCGGTTTCGAGAAATAACGCGAGATGGCATTTTGTCACCTGTTCTTCTCATGTATAGGTATTGATGCTAATAAACGATAAGTTGATGGAAGATTGATAAAATATTATTCAGATTCAAATTATTTAAATTGTGATTTATCGAAGCGAGTGAATATAGTTTGATTTATTAATTAATGCCACACCTTCTTGTATGTTTTCTACAAAATTTGTTTCAGCGTTGATGTCAATTCCGAGAATTGAACGGAAGAAAGATTATAGTTTGAAATAGCTTTCATGTTTACTATATTTTCTAGAATTGTGTGGTGCCAACGAATTTTGTCTATTTATAAAAATTGATATTCAATGGTAAAATTTAGGAAGTTGATTCTCGAAACACTTTGCAGAGCTAATGAAAAGTTGTGAAAATTGCCATGAAATTGATAATAAAGAGAAAATGTAGATGTTGCTGTTGCTGTTGTTGTTTTTGAGTTCGAGGTTGGGTTTGGGGTTGGGGTTGGGGTTGAGCCTGAGTCTGAGCCTAGGATATGCAGCATTGTGTTTGGGTGTGTGCGTGTTTATTTTGTGTATACGCAAGCCGAAAAGGGCAACAAATGTTGTGAGCGGCTGTCTATAGATGTGTGCGTACGCGTGTGTATGTGTGTGTGTATCTGTGGTTTTGCCTCTGAATCAAATGCCTGCGCGTTTTCTGCTCACAATGTCTATGATGTATGTATGTTGTTGTTGCTGCTGCTGCTGCTGCTGTTGTTGTTGTTGTTGCTATAAACTAACAGGTGGTGTTGGCGTGTACAGAAAAGTAACCTCAAATTTTTGCTCTCTAATACGCAAGTGTTGTTGCTGTTCTTGTTGGTTGAGTGTGCGTATTAAAACTTAATCAAATTATTTAATATATGTATGTATGTTTAGTATGTACTATGTATATATGTATGTACATATGTATGTAGGCATATATTTCATCGATACTTACACAAACACACCAGGGGGCAGTACAACAGAGCTAATGCTATCAAATACATTGCTCAGAGACGACGGACCCACGCAGCCAGAAGCTTCAACGCTGTTAAACTTTTAATATGTTTCTGCTGTTGTTGTTGCTGTTGCTGTTACTGTTGCTGTTGCCAATGTTAATTGTCTGTTGTCTGTTTTGGATGAGCCAGCCGCTGCTCTGTTGTGTGTTGGGCTGTGCCTTGGCCTATTTTATGTAGCTGTTGTTGATTTTTTTTTTTTTTTTCGTCTTCTTTTGCTGCTGTTCCTGTTTCGTTGCTGCTGCTGCTAAGGCTAAGGCTGCGGCTGTAGCTGCGGCTGCGGCTGCGACGGCTGCTGCGATGAGTGCTGCTATCGGCTGCTGGTGTCTCTCACTGACGACTTGCGTGTTGTGTGTGTGTATGCGTTTTTGTCTGCGATTTTATTGGATTTTAGCGCGTGCGTGTGAGCATGTGTGTGTGTGTGTGATTGTGCGTGTCTAAATATGTATGTACGTGTGTGTATGTGATTCGCACTTGAATGCGTTTTGCTGTGCGTAGGTGTCTCACGCACGCAAGCACGCACACACACACACACACCTCTATATTTGTGTATTTGGTTATGTTAAATTGAAAGCGTTAATTCTTGGGAAATGTTTCTTCTTCTGTTGTTTTTGTTGTTGTTGTTGTTGTGTGTTATTTGAATTTGAATTCAATTTTAGTTGGGTTTTTAGTTGTTCCTTTAGCAATTGCTGTCTTTGTCACGAGCTAAATAAATCTGTTTTAATCCCCTTCTCTTATAGCTGCGTTTCATTTGAGTTTTTTTCTTTGTTCGTTCTTTTCGAATATTTAATTTGATTAGTTTTTTTTTTAAATATTTTATTTTTTACGTTGTTAACTTTAGCACTGTTGCACGTTTAGGTGTAGTGGCTTTTATGGATACATAAGTATGTATGCAAACACACAGACTGGCTGGCTGGCTGGCTGGCTAGCTGGGCGGGTGGTGGGTGTTCAGGCGGGCGGTGCGGGGCGGGGCGGTCAGACAGGACACAGGCTGAGCAAAAACTTCTTGCTCCAATTTCTAGTTGTGTTGCTTATGTATTTGTTGTTGTTGTTGTCGTTGTTGTTGGTTGTTGTTGTGCTTGTTGCAGCAACTTTAGTTTTTAGAAGGGCGTGTGTACACCGCTCTAACTGTTAAAACAAACAGCAGTTTCATCATCGATAGCAGCCCCAATGAGCCCCAAGGAGCGTAGCAACGTCAACGTCATCATTGCCTAAGACGTTGGCTAGAGTTCTTGTTGTCGTTGTTATTGCTGTTGTTGTTTTCTACGGACGGTTATTAGAAGGCTCCTGCGGCATCAGTATTTGTGCCTGCTTTGCTTGTTGCTGTTGCTGCTGCATGACAAGCAAATGTCACATATGTATATATCCGTATTTGTTATAATTATTTTACCATCAATGAGTCTCATTTGTAAATTTTCGTTGTACATTTAATTGGTTGCTAAGTCAGAGGGAATTTCCGCCTTTCCTTTTGGGCTATGAATGTCTAACGCACACACACATACACATAAATTCACACACACACATAAGCACAAAGGCAGACTTAACGGTTTTCTCAATTTATTTGCACACACAAATTAACCAAAAAAAAAAACACATTTTTTTTAAGCCACACTTCATTTTGAATTGTAGAAATTTTTTGACGTCCTTCGCCTTGGCGTAATTTTTTCTCTCTATATATATTTGGTTTGCTGATTCGTTTATAACACGTTCTAATTGTTGTTGTTCTTGTTGTTATTGCTGCGGCTGTCCAGCCCACGAATTACGTGCGTTATATATATCGTATATATATATATGTATTTAGGAGTGTGCACACACGCATACTAATGTACATAGGTATTTTTGTATGTGTGGCAGCGAGCGTTCAAATTTTTAAATATATATATATATACATATATACGTGTGTGTATATAAATGTATTTTTTGTTGACGTTCTGCCGTTGCGCGCACGCTGAACAGGCGCTGGTCCGTTGCCTTGCTCGGTTTTACGACGAATGTAACTGCCGTTGTCGAGCACAGCATCTGGGAGCCCAAAACTCAGCATCAGCAACACACACACACACGTACACACACACATACATAGACACAGGCACACACACGCGCGCACATACACAAGCCCTCTGGCAGCACAAAATTGCCATTGTTGGGCTTTTCCTGCAGCCCCCATATCTTTACCCCAAAACAGGGGAGAATGCTTCAACCAAATACTCTATACTCATTAAGAGAGACTCTTAAATACCTTACGTTCGCCGCCCTTCTTGTATCAAACATTTCTTATGGCAGCTACATATACGATAAAGTGCGTCGATTTTGATATAACTTTTGATTACAGCGATAAATTCAATAAACTGCATAATTACAAAAAATATATTTATAAGCAAAATATTTGTTGGTATTTAACTGTGGATGTCTGCCGCGGTTGTTCATAAGGCAGCTTTAAGATTTATGCAGATGATTTTAATGAAATTTTGATCTATCATGAGACATTATACAAAATTCATAAATGCTACGATTTTGTAAAAGATATCTTACAAGCAAAAATGGTATTCTACTAATCCTGTTAAAATGTATACATATGTAATACTATACTATATGCTGCTTATATATAGTATACTTTTTCATCTTACGGGTTCAGGGCATCTTTTTCTTTGCCGCGATAAGGAAAACGGGTTTTAAAAAATATTCTAAGCCTGGCCAGGTCTTGCTGTTGTATTTCTTTCAAAATTTATTATAAGAGATGCAGATTTCTCTGTAATTTCAGAGCATGTTAATTTTCCAGTTCCTTCCAATATTTTGCCTTTACTACCCAATGGATAGGCACAACTGATTACTTCCTGCAAAAAACAATTTAGGGTTGAATTTTCTTCGCCTGTAGTACTATCAATCGAACTAACCTACTTCTCACTGAAAGCAACTCCAAAAGATTCAGGTTGGAATGGGTTAAAAAAGCCAAGTCAATTATAGTTATTTTTGTTCTTCCCCAAAACTGGTTGTCCCGTTACATACATTTTCAGAAACTAAATGTACACTTTTTACCCTTTAAGCTCAGAGTATAAACATTCCATCTTCTTTGCAGAACTTTCGCATATATGCTTGTGTCTGTATGTACGAGTATGTGTGTGTGTGTGTGCGACTCACTCACTCATTCACTCGTTCTCTCTTTCGCCCACTCTGAGTGCTTCCTTCTCTCTCGCAGCTCTACCCCACCACTAAGCAGAATGGACCAAACCCGCAAAATGCTCTTCGGAAGCTTCTGCGCTCTGCACGCGCACCGCCCACTGCAAGTGGCAGCTAATCTGACACAATTTTCTCGCTGGAGGTCACTGCTGCCGCTGCCACTGCCGCTGCTGCTGCTGCTGCTGCCAAAAGCTGCCACTGCTGCCGCCACCGCTGTTGCGGTTTCTGTTGCTGTGGCTACCGCATTTGTTGAGGATTATAAGTCCGTTCCAAAGCGATGCCGCCGTGCAACCCCTTCAAGGTCAACTGCATTGTTTCCAATTCAGTTTCGGCTGCAACCCACGCCAGCCATCGTCCTCCTGGACTCCTGGCTGCGCGTTTAAATTAAAGGACGCGTCTCACATTATTCCGCAAAATTATTACCATTGCTTTTCAAAATTCAAACGCATGCTCGTAAGCACTTCTTCAACAGAATTCCATTCTTTAAATAATTTTACAGCGCCTAGGAAAGGCTGAGGGTGTGGCCAGCTCGACTGCCAAATGCTGTACTGTGTACCTTACACATACTCGGTCACACATGCAACAACAATTTTCAAACAAATGTAACGTACTTTATAAAGCAGAAGAGTAGAGTGATTTTCTGTTTTGAAATGAATAATACAATAGGTAGTAATTGTAATATTCGACAGATTTGCGTGTAAATTAAGAAATCATGAGACGTATACTGAAAAAATTTAATTGTTTGCATCTAAAAGGGATCTTACGCCACCTAGGATAGGACTTTTAAAAACTCTATCTCAGGAAGATAAGAACATTCAGCAAAACGATCAATTTTAAATCAGGGATCGCAAGTAATGAGTATTTTTTATTTTTTTACTTCAAAACTTAGCCAATAATCATTATTTTTGAGCAAAAAAAAAAAATCTAAAAAATTAATGATTATTCTTTGAGTTTTATTATACTCTGTACATAAAATGTACAAGAGTATGTAGAATCGAATCGATGTCTCTCTGTATGTTCGTCTGTCTGTCCGTATGAACACCTGCATCTCAGAGACTATAAAAGCTAGGGACACCAAATTTAAGTATAGTATGTGTGTAGAAAATGGGAAGTCCCATTTTCTACATCATCAGAGTAAGAATGAGTGTATACTCGTATGTCCATACATATATAATTGCTAAGGTGAGCAAAACTTTATTTCTTCAGACGCGCACATAGTAAGATTCAAACTCTTGTGATAAGTGAAATGGTTTAACCTTTGAATGAAATAAAATGGTATAAAGTAAATTATACAAATTGCTGTTTCTACATGGCAGCAAAAAAAATAAACCATATAAGAAGAGCTGCTATGAAGCTTTAAGAGCCACTAAACAGTCGAAAATTACAGATTTTGTTGCCACGCAAAAGGAGCCATCATATAAAAAATGTTAATTACTAAAGCTGCTATAAATGCCACTAAATTAATTTTCATTTTATTTTAATACATATGTGTTCTCTTATTACTTTGGAAAACTATTGCCATTTGAATAAACCTTTTTATGTTTTTGAAACTAATAATTAATAAATTGTATATATGTAAAAAAAAAAGAAACTAATAAATTTAAACACTAAACAATTTTTGTATGCATTTTTCGAAGTCTAGGAACGTAACCCCTCATTTTGTATGGAAATACATGGCTCGCTTAACGCGATTTCGCTTAAGATGACGTTTTCAAGAAACATAACCCCCGCGTTAAGTGAGTAGGGCTATGTGTATTTGAGAACCATAAATGTTGCATACTTTTATGGGCATACAAATCAGATAATATTGTAAGTAATAACAGAAATTAGAATAGACAAATTTTCCAAATATAAAACGTTCACATCCATAAGTT